TGGTGGCTAAAGCACTAGATTCTCACATGGCCCACTGTAGTTCAAATCCTGGGCTTAGTGGCTTGAAAATCATGCTGGGCATATTGGACACACATGTCCAAGAGAAGAATGGGGGAAAAGGAATTGTAGCATGGCCATCTCCCTAGGGGGTGATTTCTCACTTTCCCTCTCCATCTCCCCGTGTCTCTCCAGTAAGCACACACACCCTATGGCAAAAACCTAACAACAACAACAAAAAAAGACAATATAATATGTGAATATAAATTCAAAAACTTTAATGAAAGATTAACAAAATCTATTATAGTATTATTTTTAAATAGTCATTATAATCAAGTAGATTCTATTCTAGTAATGCAAAGATGATTAAATATTAGGACATTCATAGTATAACTTACTATATTAGTATAATTTACTATAGCAATTGCTTTGCTAAAGACAATCTAATTAATGTAAGTGTTGGGGGCCAGCAGGCGGCATGGTGGTTAAGGTGTTGGACTTCCACATGGCTGACTGCAATTTGAGTCCCCCATCTAGTGGCTTGCTTTCTCACTTTCTCTCTCTCTGTCTCTTTTTGGTCAAGTAAAATAATAAGAAGAAGAAATAAGAGGAAATCAATAATTATTTTTAAAAATTAGTGTAAATGCTTTTGCCAAATTCAAAACTCATTTCCAAAAAAGAAAACAATGGATAATAACATACATAGGACCAGGCCTGTAGCACAGTCATTAAGTGCTGTGCATTGGGAGCTAGACCCCATATGGCTGACCATAGTTTGACTCTCAGCCCTGGCAGCTTATAAAACATGATGAGTATGTATGCATGTGTGAACAAAGTCTTGATGGGAAGAAATGGAGGAAAAGGATTGTAGTGTGACTATTCCCCACTTGGGGGAGGGTCTCTCTTTTCTAGAGACATGCCTCCTCTGACAAAAAAAAAAAACAAAGATATTAGCCTTAGCCTAAAAGCTAGCATTTCTCTTAATGGAAAAACAAAGAATATATTTTTACTAAACTTAGTCTTTATACAAGCCAAATGATATATAGTGATTGAATGTTTTTAAAAATGAGAAATTAATAATAATAATAATATTTTAAAATGATGAAAAGCTATTTGATGATGATGATTTGGATGCTAATGTCTTTGTCTTGACTGGTATGCATGGTAATTGTGCTGGAAAAAGAAATGAAATACACTGTAAAGATACATGTGATTCAATATAATATAAAAATGATTATGATAATAAATTAAAAATAAAGTTAGAAATAAGAAAAAGTGGGAACAGCAGGTGGTGTAAAGGGTATGTCACTGGACTCCCACTTAGTCGATCGCAGTTCAAATCCCAGACCTAGCAGCTTCAAACTCACACTAGGCTCGTGTGCGTGAGTGCCCAAAATCCTGGGAGGAGAAGGGATTATAGCATAGCCATCCCTCCTAGGGGGGCGATTTCTCAGTTTCTGTACATCTGTTTCCCTGGTGAGTGCATGCACCCTATAGAAAAAAATAAAAATAAAAACCTCTCTAAAAATAAATAAATAAAATAAGGAAAAGCTTTTTCTTTATCGCCTCTAATACTTGACTATATTAGATTTAACCACTGTAGTCGAACAAGATAACTATCCAAGGAAATGAATAGTAATAAATTTAAATGATTTATTGTTACAAAAAAAAATAAAAAAGACTTTACAGCACATCTGGAACACCCAAGAGAAGAATGTGAAACTACTGCAAATAGTAAGAGCATGTCCAATTCTAATAAAAGGCATACAAGGTGAAATGAGAGAGAAAGAGATAGCCTATCCTTTTGAATGAGAAATGTGGTATCAATAAATGTCCACTTTCTCCTAAGTGATTTCATAAATTCAAAGTAATTCTAACCAAAACTTCATTAGCTTTTAAAAGATAATGTCATAAATTTAATTCAGAAATGTATGTGATAGAATTAAAGGTCTATCAATTGCTAAGTCAGTCTGAAAAGTAAGTGTTAAAATAGGAATGCCAGCCTGTGGCCTGGTGGTTAAGTGTTCTAGATACTGCATGTCAACCACGTGGTTTGAGTCCTGGACCTGGCAGTTTGAAAACCACACCAGGTACATGTGCATGTGTGCCCAAAATCCTAAAAGAAGGGGGACATGGAGGAGAAGTGTGACCATACTGCACAAGGAGTGCTTTCTCGCTTTCCTTCTCCCTCTCTCTCTCTCTCTCAGTCTCACTCCAGTAAGCACACATGCCCTCTGGAAAACTTTTTTTCAAAAGAACACCTATTTCTAAGCCATGGGGTCTTTCTAATAAAACTATGGCTTTGGTAAACAGATGGAACAATGGTGCAGAATAGCTCAAATCAAAACCATACATAAATGTGCTTCCTACACAGGAAGTGCCAAATTATTGGGCATAGAAGGTATCAGGAAAAGGGGCTTAGTGTACAGTGGAAAATAAAACTAGATTTTACCTAATGGCACCCATTAAAATAGCCTCAAGGCCAATTAAAGACCTAGTTATGAAAAGTAAAATTGAGTGTTGAGGCCGGCAGATGGCATTGTGGTTAAAGCACTGGACTCCCACATGGTTGACCATGGTTCAAGCACCAGACATGGCAGTTCAAAACTGACACTGGACATATGTGTGTGCCCAAAATCTCAGGAAGAGAATGAAGGAGAAGGGATTGTTGCATGGCCATCCCTCCTAGGGGGTGATTTTTCACTTTCTGTATCTCTATCTGTTCAGCAAGTGCATGTGCCCTATAGCAAAAATCTCTCTTTTTTCACAGAGGTTTTTGTCTTAGGGAGTGTGCACTCACCAGAGAGAGAGACAGAGACAGTTAGAGGTAAAGTGAGAAATAACCCCCTGCGGGGATGGCCATGCCTCAAACCCTTCTCCTCTACTCTCTTTGGGCATGCACACACATGTGTCTGGCATGAGTTTTAAACCAACAGGTCTGTGACTCAATCCACAGTCAGCCCTCTGGGAGTCCAGTGACATAAGCACTATACCATCTGCTGGCCTCAGCAAAAATCTCTTTTAAAAAAATTAAGTGTGAATCAAAAAAAGAAGAAGAAGAACATCTTTGCAATTGAGGAGTAGAAAAGACCTTATGCAAAAGCTCAAAAGCACAAACTATCTGGGGTGGAGCAGTCTTTAGATCCAGCAAGTTAAAGAACTCTTCAAGGAAGGGCCCATATGCACAGAGTTAATAGGCAGCTGAAAAAATGGAAGAAGAAATTGAAAATGAATTTCAAAATCATTTGAAATGGGGACCAGCAGTTAGCGTAATGGCTATGTCACTGGACTCCCATGTAGTCGCCCGCTGTTTGCGTCCTGGACCGGGTGGCTTAAAACTCATGCCAGGCGCATGTGCGTGCATGCCCAGGATCCTGAGAGGAGAATGGAGGA